CTTAAGCGCCAGCTAGTTCGTAACCGCCTATATGACCGTCCATGTGCAACTCAAAATTGCATAATTTGCCACAGTGGTAGAGACGGTGATTGCATGAGCTCGGGTATAGTTTATCTGATCTCCTGTAAGACATGTGGTGACGAATACATTGGCGAAACGGGTAGACCCCTCTGTGTCCGCATGAAAGAACACCTAGCCGGCAAAAATAGACCAAATACCCCGCTAGGCACGCATAGGACTCAGAGACATAACGGAGACGACTTCGAAGTATGTGTCACGATCCTCGCACGCGAATCAAGAACACAGGCGCGAAAAACTCTCGAGGCACTCTGGATTAATTCCAGAAATCCGAAAATGAACCGCAGGGAAGAATGCCTTATTATCACGCGTGATATAGGGCAGTATATAAAACTGCTTTTCTGATGTGAGGGGCACATACTTCCACGTGATTTCTGTGCGGTTGGTCTCTACGTGACATACTTAGTGGAAACCTCATAGAAAGCGGTGAGTGTGCGAAGCTGTGTTCAAAGTGATTGAAATTTTGGTTTGGAGTTTCTTTGTTTGGTTATGGAGGCGTCTGGCCGAGTGGATTGCTATCAACTTGACCTTTCCAGGCTCTGAAGAAGGCGAAATCCACCGAAACGTCAGCTTAATCGTGAACAAAGAATAGTAACACCTCGCGTTTGCTCAACAAAAATACGAAGAAAATCACTTGATCAATGCCGAGGTTGATAGAAATTCGGTCGTGGCAGTTACTAGCTTAGTTATTTATTAGCTAAGACAAGCTCAGGCTTTCGAGTTGTGCTCAACCGAAGAAGATCCGACCTGATGCGACGGCGAAGACACCACATCGAGAGTATGAATCTCTGTGGACCATTGACTCGGATCATCCTCTCTTATGAAGACGAAGACGTCAAAACATTGGCCGAATAAAAGTTATATATCAACCTCGTTTAAGCTTACCAAAGAAAGATTACATGTAAAGTAACTGCTCTTAGCCATCATATTACAAACTTGCGAGGACAGCATAACTAAGAATTGCGACCACAACGCGATCAACAATATACTATAGCAAGGAAGAACAGTGCTGCTTACCGATACTTCCTCCGCATAGGCTAGTTCTGCTTCTACATTCATGGCCCACCGATCTAAGAACTCTTGTTCACCAAGCATCATTGAAAGAAACTCGTCCGTGATCTCATCCAACTCCTTCTCTGACCAAGCGATCATCTTTGACAGAAACAGTTCTTATAGGAATCCTGTTTAATCATAGAAGTTCTCTTTCAATATTACTGATGCTATTGACATATGACGACAAGAAAACAGAAAACAACGATCTTTAATTGAATTTACGTTAGAAAAACAACTGTGAACCAGCAAAATCAAAAGAACAGTACCAATCCTATTTGCTCGAAATCATGACGTAACTAAGAAATACCTTATCATTTACAATAACAACGTTGACCGTTTCATTCTCTAAGTCCCTAGCCCTCACTAGCTTACGGTCTGAAAGTTAAGTCTCTAAGCCTTACTTCTATTTCTTATGAATTCTTATGACTCTTTCGATACTAAAGTGTTCTGACTCCCGTTGAGTAGTCAATATGAACTACGTGTGAAGGTGTACTTGTAAGTAAGACGAAAAAGAAACATTAGCCTAGAGAAGTGCTATAACTATCAAGATATCTTCTCCGTAGGGTTAACAGTCGGTGGAAGAGGTTGTATCTCTAAATAACCCACACGCATACCTACACCTTCGGGAATATTTCGCTGTATGTATTCCAAAAAAGTGTTTGCTGTACTGCCCGTTAGATTCCGTACCTAGAAAAAAGAAAGATTAAAGCCTAGATAGTGGAGTAACTACAGTATGTTATGTCGAGAACTATTAAGTAACATGAAATTCGTGAATGTTCGAAAGCTCTAGTTTTTGGCTATCACAATTAATCAATAAATCGATAGCTCGAACAGGACGTGGCAACCCACCTCAAACACGGTGATATGCGTTCGAGTCTCGTAGTGTAATTTATACTTCTTATGGACGAATTTCGATCGTAGAGCTGGTTGAATCCATCGCACATATGGAATCACTTGGAAACGCCCACGCGTCAAATTTAGGTGAGTGCAGACACTGTGAAAACTATTCGATAGAATTACCAGTCATCTTTTTTATTTAACTGCCTATTCTTTTTTCATGGCAAGGTATGATGCGAAGTATAAGTACAGTGATGCTGAGATACTTGCAAAACTCCAGATCGCAGCTGTCTGCAGTGGAGAACGAACAAGCTATTATCCTTTCCGACGGTTAACGCGTTCACCACCACACTATACAGCCTCTTCGTTTTCCCTGTTTCTCAGCTAGTTTTCTATCTAACAGTGCCATCAGCACTATTCAGTACACAGGACAAAAAGTTTTCGGACCAAAATACTTACTTACTTGAATACTTGAATAATCCGTCCTCACTGGTTGTGCGGGCCCCAGCACAATCTCCATTTCTTTGAGATTTGCTGGTTAAGCCATTGTGCTTCCCTGGAATCCCGAGGTCAGTTTAACCAAAGTCTGTTCCAGGTCCTCACCACCACAGGAAGTCGCCAACTTTGTGGATCAGAGAGAGATTTGCCACTATGCGACTTTGATACCAGAACGGTGGTGGATCCTGGTATTGGTTCACTCTTAGCTAGGCTTCCTGATGGAAACGCCGGACTCCTCAATTTGGGAGACCCTACCAGGGAGTGAATCCTCCACTGTACATCGCAGTCCGACACCCAGGAACACCTCCCAACCACGATAAGGCAGTAAACCGTTTGGACATCGGAGAAAAATATTTTCGAGAAGGAAGGATTCTTAGCACGGAACATTAACAAGACAATTCAAATTCGACCTAGAACAGAATGCCCATGTAAACACAAGTAAGAACTTATCTCAAGAAATTTTGTGTAGGACTTCAGCACCTCTGGATCATGACCGCGATACTCCAACTCAATTGAGCTGAAACATTTCTATACAACGAGGGAAAAGACACTTCAAAACGGAAAGAAAAACCGGAAAACATAAAGGTCTATGCGGATCTTCAACACTCGTTACTAACTAAAGACCCTACAGCCAGATATATGACGTTAAGGGAGTACTAATCGAAGAGCCTTAGTCACAGCTAGAGATAAGACGCTAAGGAAAAGGCCTTTCGGCTAGCTACTAACCTATATAACTTGTCAGGCATCGGCGGTTCTGAGGGCGTTGTCATAGCTGATGGCATTGAACGCGGCACAGATCGCACCTAAGCACGAAAGTTAATTTTTCTCTTTACTGGAAAGGTAACGGTTTTCCTTCAGAAGCGAAAAAGCCGCGGAAATGCTACCGAAGCTTCACTTACTGCTCGTGATGATATCAAGGTCATACCACGTAAAGCATTCTGTACTTCACCAAAAATTGATGTAAACATCTACAAATAAAGTCATTTTTATACCAAACAATGAGATTTGTAGGAATCAAAGTCAGAAAGACATAAGAATACACTACAAAAATACTTCTACCGAGTTGAAGACCACAGAAAGAAAAGAATAGCTCCTACTACAGACTTGGAAAACAAGAACAACCTGAGATAAACCAAGTAATAATGCGCTCTAGAGCTAAATTAACGCGCGCGTATTGAAACGACGCGCGTTAATTTACGGTAGGTCAACATTTACGCTGGCCGTAGTAACGCATTGCATTCACTTCATTCCGTCCATGTACAAGTACGAACAGGTTGCCCAGGGTGGCAGTACAACTAAAGGTTTAGAAAGTTGGACAAATTTTCAGGATTACTGTTTCTTCGTGTTCTATTATCACAAATAACCTGTGATGATGCACTACTCCCGAGACCGAACCGTGGTATTCCATTGGCTCGCAATAAATCAATGCGGTTGTTCATTTATTCGAAAACCTGGACGTATATTCTATAACTTGATCGATTGGTTGGAAAATCATGCTTGTATTCTAAATTTATTCAGCTTCTAATCTTAGATGGTTAGTGTCTGCTTCGTACTAGTAGTATCAATCAATCAGGCGACCTCTGCGCTGTTGCCGGATGACGTCATAGCACTTGTAAAGTTTCATTTTTTATTTGCTTTCTTTACATTAAGTATTATTCACTAACATCATTGAATAGTACAAGGATTGATTTTCATGTTTCTGTATGTATTCCACCCAATGTAAGCACTATTTCTTTTATATTAAAGACAATTTCAAGCATTTTTTGTTCGACTCCCCACTAACCCATATCGATTACCTGGTAGGAATGTTCTGCGACTACCGTGTGCTTTTGACATTCTGTTCCTAATTCAAACGTTCTTGGGTTTACCTGTTGAGATAGGACGTTTGTTACAGTTCGTACCATCTAAACTTCACTTACTGCCAATATACAACACCTACTAAGTGCTTAGTATTTAAATTAGGCTCTTAAAAAGACTTAAGTGCCAATCTGGAAAATCGATCTGTCGAGGGAGGGCAAAATCAGGTAGTGTTATGTCCGATCTTGTATGGAACTGAAGGACGCGTGCAGCGCTAAGGGACGTGTGTAGCGCAGTGGTTAGAGGCGCCCTGCAATACACATGAAATCGATGACGCGCTCTGAGCCCACCAAACCAAGCCTTCCCTTGCTCCGGGGTATGCAGGTCCGTACCAAATCTGTCTGAGAGGATAGCATCACTAGCTCGATACATCGGTAGGCCACTGCGAGTCATTCTATAAGCCTGATGTGCACTCATTCACATCCAGCGATGTTTAATGAAGCCGATTGCATGGTGCGATCACGTAATAGTCTTCCATTTAAAGGATAAAAGATAAAGCTTTTGAAATTGACCAATCTCTGAGGGATGCGATACATTCGTCTTCATCAAGCATTGTTTGGAGGTGATTGAATGCATGCATGGCTTCTATACACCCTATATGGCCCACATATGACTCGCAGTGGCATACCTAGGTATCGAGCCAGCGTTGCTATCCTCCCAGACGTGTCACGTACTATTTTGCCAACCCAGGCATGATGGAACACTTTGTGATCCTGAGGCGGAGCGTTGAGCCCGTGGGTGTTGCAGTGCGCCTCCAACCATTGCGCTACACGAAAGCCTTTCTTTTTCTGAGTTTTTAACATGCGGTAATCAAAATGCAATTTATAAAGCGTTCTGTGTTAATCAATCCTTTAGAAATGCCCCATGCATTTGACTTCATTAACGCTTTGGTAACGTGTTGAGTTATATATTACTCATGCCCAACTGATCGAACTGGACAAGTTGAGTCATATATGAAGCGTTTTCTTTTCGGTCGTTTGTTTTAGCCCATAGAGTTTTTTTGCTACTCTTTTTGTGATCACTCAATGTCTTATCTAACGGAGTTGTTTTGGATTGCGTATGCTGGGAAAAGCTCTGTTCATTGCCGAGAAAAGTAAAAAAAAACGTTTTCTCAAACAAGTTAATGGACTGGTAATTTGCCTAGTAACTGGGTGCTGTTTCGGTTCCAGATGATGAATTATAGTTATCGTATGAATGCTATCACGTGTAGTCCCGTTGATCGTCGAGTGACTCGAGCGGGCGCCATAAATCTTCCATTTTCCCCTATCGCGTCCAAGAGTAGCCCTGTGGGTTCTGCTGGCTTTGGCGCTCGTTGAGCATGTGGTGGTGAGGAACATGAGGAACAAAAAATACAGAGACTCAGGAAAGCTGGAAAACACTTCCTTATACTGACAGCAGTGTGGTTGTATGTTGGGCTATTATAATATGCACTAAATAGTACCACACGTACTAGGCATAACCTTGGAGCAATAGAACAAAGCTTCTTCTGAACCTCCTTCACCTAGTCAAACCTCCAAGTCAGTTATCAAATAATTATCATGTTTTATCAAAAAACCAGTCCTATGAGATGGAATAAATGGGTTTACTGCATTTTTGCACACTATCATTCGAGGTGTCTTAGCAAAGAATTCTGATATTCCAAATGCAGACTGCCAAAAGGTCTAGGAATTCGTTTGCCTGGCTATAGGACCGAACCAACTACAAGGTGTGTATTGCTGGGCACTTTCAGCTACTGTGCTACGCGTGCTGCTTATATGGATAATAATATTGTTAATAACAATAATGACAATAACAATAAGTGGAAGGAGGTTAACGGATTGGTTAGTGATGTAGTAGAAGCTGATTCCGCAACTCTCCCATACTCCCCCCCACCACCAAATTGCACCAAAAATCGACTCATCCGATATTCTGCGACATTCATAAAGAAGGCAAAATACTCAAGCAAAAGCTGAAACAACGCGAAATGTTCGAAGACCTTTGTGGACGATGGACGATGAATATGAGCGAAACGAATCGAATGCTAGTGCTGGAAACCGCAGTGTAGACGAAATGACAGGTCATGTAAAGTAAGTAAAGTAATAGTGATTAATAATAATAATAGTAATAATAATAATAACAATAATAATAGTAATAACAATAAAATGATTACTTACTTACTTGCTACTTGAATAGCCCGTCCTCACTGGTTGTGCGGGCCACAGCATAATCTCCACCTTTCGCAGATTTGCTGGTTAAACCCTTGTGGTAGGTATAAGTACAGTGATGCTGAGATACTTGCAAAACTCCAGATCGCAGCTGTCTGCAGTGGAGAACGAACAAGCTATTACCCTTTCCGAAGGTTAATTCGTTCACCACCACACTATACAGCCCCTTCGTTTTCCCGGTTTCTCAGCTAGTTTTCTATCTAACAGTGCAATCAGCACTATTCAGTACATAGGACAAAAAGTTTTCGGACAAAAATACTTACTTACTTGAATACTTGAATAATCCGTCCTCACTGGTTGTGCGGGCCCCAGCACAATCTCCATTTTTTTGAGATTTGCTGGTTAAGCCATTGTACTTCCCTGGAATCCCGAGGTCAGTTTAACCAAAGTCTGTTCCAGGTCCTCACCACCACAGGCAGTTGCAGCCCTTGTGGATCAGAGAGAGATTTACCACCATACGACTTCGATACCAAAACGGTGGTGGATCCTGGTATTTGTTTACTCTTAGCTAGGGTTCCTGATGGAAACGCCGGACTCCTCAGTTAGGAAACATTTCCAGGGGATGAATACCCCCGCTGTACATAGCAGCTCGACACTCAGGATCACCTCCCAGCCACGATGGGGCGGTAAACCGTTGAGTTTAGATGGTAAATGATAACAGTAACATAGTAATTAAGAGCTTCACTGGATGTGTCATCCTAGTAGATAGAAATGTTTTTACATATATTGGTTCGATTGAGCTACTCGGGATCACTATGCTTTCCATCCCTTCGAGATTGTAAAGTTGGTACCAGACTTGACTGGGCGGGTAAGAACACTGACTAGATTTATCGCTGGTTCACAGCAAGTCATTTTATGGGCCACTCACTCACCTTTACGATGCTACGAATGGTGTTAAATGCATGGCCTATCCTTCAGGATTCGATCAACAGGGGATGCTTTAACGCTTAGTAAAAACCGATTCTAGTATACGTTTGCTTACGCATCATCACTCGTCGTCGTACTTTTTAGTTGCCATCGTACTTGTATAGACTGCGACAGTTCCAGGATATAGCGTTTGTCCACTATCCGGAGTAAATGTTACGTGGTTTGTCGTTCCGGGTTTTCGTGTACGGTACTCTGAAAAGGGGAGAGCCAAATGCCGACGTGATAACGAATACCGCCGGACGATATCGTTTCATCGGTGAAGGACGAACGAAGGTACCGTATCCGCTCATTGTCGCCTCGAAATATAATATTCCTTTCGTCCTTAACGAACCCGGAAAAGGATATGTGAGTTTGTTTTTGTGTTTTCGTTGTGTAATTGAAAAAACAGTGCTCCAGACAACGAACATGATTGATGTATGATTCACGTGATATTGATTGATGTATGATTTACGTGATACAGACTGGATAGGTAGTATGTTTGCTCTTATCTGAAAGCTCTTTTAAAATGTTCGGCGATGTCCCTCTAGCGACGAAAATGTAAAACAATCGCGAAATTTGGAAAAAATTGCTTCTGTTTAGCAAGTTGAAGGTGAAGTGTATGAAATTGATGATGTGAAGCTGAATATTCTTGATAAGCTTGAAGATTATCCAACATTTTACTGGCGGCAAGAGGAGAAGGTAATAGATTCGTGAATTATCTTAAAATTTAACGCAGTCCAGTTTTAACATTTTCGTACAAATATCACCAAAATGTATGGAAATGCCTGATTTGGTTTGAATAATGCTTCAGTCAGTAAGTGATTTCGGAAGATCAGAAAGATCTACAAATATAACTTAAGTGATGCTGAGATTTTTGCAAAACTCCGGACCGCAGGTGTCTGCGGTTGGGAAACGAACGCGCTATTACCCTTTCTGAGGGCTGACGCGTTCACCACCACACCATGCGGGTCCTTCGTTTTGCCTGTCTGTCAGCTAGCTCTATCGATCAGTGCCATCAGCAATCACCCGTCGGTGGGGTTGATGTGGGGAGCCTAAATCGGCAATGAACCCAGTTAAGCTGAGGCTTTAGTTATCATCACAATTTTCGGATGGGTCCTCATGGTGTGGTGGTGAACGTGTTAGCCCTCGGAAAGTGTAATAGCGTTCGTTTCCCACTACAGACTCCTGCGGTCCGGAGTTTTCCAAATATCTCGGCATCATTAAAGTTATATTTCGCAATATGTCCTGCCATTAAAAAGAATAGGCAGTAAATAATAAGTTAAAATTGTGATCTGCAAATGATTTCACTCATGTGAATTTCGGATTGGTGATACGATATCTAGGAATCCGATCTTAGACCTTCATGACAGGCTTTAAATTCAGATTCTACTCTCAACTAATAGTGAAACAACAGCTTGGATGTATTTGCTACGAAATTGGCGACCTAATATATATGAAACAGCAACACCGATGATGTCTAACTATTCTAGCAATGGTGCTCATGGCAGGAAATACGTACCAAGGTGTGTTCAATCATATGGGAAAGAAAACAACTGACATTTTATTTTGTACTAGAACAAACACAGTGCGAAAACCCATAATAAGGAACTATCAGTTTCCCTGCTTCTTATGATTTACGTAGACACATAACTTGACCTAAGGCGTAAGGACACGTGTGGCGCAGTGGTTGGAGGCGCCCTGCAACACACACTTGGAATCGATCCCCGCGCTCCTGGCCTACCAGGCTTTCTATCTCTCCGGAATCCGCAAATTGGTACCAAACTTGTCTGGGAGGATAGCTACACTGGCTCGATACATCGATAGGTCACCGCGAGTTATTGTAAAGGCCAAATATGCATTCAATCACCTCCGAACGATGTTTAATGAAGTCAAATGCACGGCGCACCACCCAAGGATTGATTAAAGTCGAGAGCGTTGTTCTTTGTTTTATTATGAATGGCGTACCTATCTATGTTTCATTAGGTTGATCTATTTTAAATAACCATTACAATTGATTTTGTTCGTATTTTTTTTGAGCAAACGCGAGGTGTTATTGTTCTTTGTTCACGATTAAGCTGACGTTTTGGCGAATTTCGCCTTATTCAGAGCCTGGAAAGGTCAAGTTGGGTCATCAAGCCTTTAATCTCTTCGGAGTCGAGAAATTGGTACCAGATTTGTTTTATGGGATAGCAACATGGATTTGATACATCGGTAGGCCACGAAAAACTATTCTATAAGGCAGCTTTGTATCCAGTCACGTTTAGCAATACCTGATGAAGTCAAGAGCAAGGAGCATCCCTCAGCGATTAATCAAACCCAGAAGCTTCATCTTTTTTTTGTATTCCAGGAAACAAAGTACTAACGTTTAGTTGATGCTATCTTCGATATAAATGACGTATCACACTGTGCTTCATTTGAAGAGCGCTAAAAGAATTATTAGACTGAACAGCAGAGCATAGTTCACTTAACTGGATGTAAACTTCTTTGAGATAAAAATAATAAAGGATAATGTTGATCAATCCCTGAAGGATGCGTCATGCATTTGATTTTATTAAGCATCGTTGGAGGTGACTGAATGAATATCTCTCCTTTACAATGACTCGCGGTGGCCTACCGATGTATCGAGTCATTGGTGCTATCCTCCCAGACAAGTCTGGTACCAATTTGCTGGCCCTGGAAGGATGAAGAGGTTGGTGAGCCCGGGGTGGGGGCATTGATCCCATGTGTACTGCAGGGCGCCCCTATCCACTGCGCAACACGCTCCTTAAGATACCCTCTCATATTACTCTTGTCTTGTTGCTTGCTTCAAATGGTTTACCGGGTCCATTGGAGCTTCTAGAAATGCATAGGGACCGCAAGAAATTTGGAATTTTGGAATGAGAAATTTTAAGTCATGTTTTATTGTCCGTAATATCTACAGTTTTTCATCGGATTTTCTCAATGTTTTTCACAATGGCAACTTTTTCTTAGATCCATAAGTCTTTTGCATACAGTCACTAGCACTGTTCGAAAAGATGGAATATTTTTGGCCAAAGGTACGATAGGACTTTTACCTCAATGCGTAGGCCCGTCGTACCAATATTATTCACGGCAGTGCGAAGACGAACAGCTTCGGATCGTATCATGTTGCTCGATTCCCTTTCCTATTGAGATGGTAACGTGACAATGGAAAAGCTCTGTCATGATGCAGGTGTGTGCACTTCGCTAGAGCTCTTATGTAAAGCATGATCGGATCGTCTGCGACTGTTGACTGAACAGCTCTTGTTGAGATACTGTCAGAAAACGAAAATGGTGCTATCGTCATGTTTTCATGATTTGAATGTGGCATGTGGCTTCAATACTATCATCCTTTCATAGCGCCATGTCTTCTTTATCTTCTTGCAAAGATCTGTGGAAATATTTTCCGAGAACGAGAACGAGAGAATATTTTTGCTCCTCATTATAAGCAAGTTATCTTTGTTCTTTGAGTGATGACAATTCTTTACTAGTCTGTGGTTGAAGCTTCACACGAAGAAGGTCGAGTTCGAACCCATTGCAACACAGTGGCACTAGAGTAGTACTATAGCAGTGTAGTGATAATGTAGTAGCTCTAAACTTCCGTTTTTAAGAAATCGATCCTGAAAATGACTTCCATGTAAGAGACGTCCTCTGTAGCAAGAGCAGGAAGGGCGACTGCCTCATCTAGATCAATCATTTCAGTTTCCTTTCCCTTTCCTTTCCGGTCTTGCAGTACCATTTTACGCTCTCTTCTATTCTGGAATGCTACTTCAGTCTTTCTTCTTCTTGAATAAAATTCCGTTTCAAGAAATTATAAAACCAGAATGGAGCGGTGCAGTAAGATGTCGTTCCTCTCAGATTATTTACTTGGAAGGTTAACTTTCGTGAAAATCGTCTGCTCAAGTTGGAAGACCTGAAGCTGTTCATTGTTTAGGTCTCCTCAGTAACAGTAGTTTTTGTAATGATAAATTTTTAATGTAATTCAAGTCATTGAATTCTTTAGTGAAGTACGGTGTAGCGGTTTGAGTTGCGGTTAACGACTTTTGCTTCCATGTTTGTTGAATTCAGTATAAAAATTCCTGCGAACCACTAGTTTAGAATAATATGTTAACTACCTTTACCTCTTGTAATCTCGTCGTTGATCATCGAATGACGGAATGACAGAGATTCCTGTGCTTGGGATGAGTGCTGCAATTTATCGAGCAACCATTCAATGACCAACAAGACAAGTCGTACACATAACAGGATATTTTCGCTCATTAATACCTAATGAAATAAGAATACTTGGTGTCAACTGGTAAGATTTTCCTACTACAGTCAACACCTCCTTAGTCATCGTCAAACTCATCTGGTAAAAAATTATCATTACTTAATGCGAGTGGTGTACAAACAAATAAACATTTGGTTACTTGGATAGTCCGTGTCGTGCAGGTAGCAGCAAATTTCCCACCGTTCATTTCGTTCCTTCGTACCCGTAGTCCATGATATGCTTCTTGCATGTTGAGGTCCGTAATACACAAATTATTTCTGGTTGTGAATGCAGCCGGTTAACGAAATCCACAAACAAGTCTGGTGATATTTTAGCCCGTTGTTCTAAACAACTGCGACATTTTGAACTACTGTTATTATCTTATACGTGTCAAAACTCCTCATAACACCATCGATCCATTGGTGTTCTGCTTTCGGCTTCTCTTAGAAGTTGAGGCGGGAGCCGTACTGTCCTACTTGTCATTTCCCACGTTCATTAAACATCGCCCTATGTATATGTACGATGTGATGGTCTCTGTAATCAAACAGTCATTCACACTGACTTGTTCCTCAGCGCATCATGGGTTTCCCATAAACTAGGTTTTACTCCGATAAATTTACAGTTCCATCATTTGTCCCGCTTCGTTGAATTGAATTCTTTGAATATATTCCCTGGTCTATTTTTCATCGGTATTTTTCGAAGTGAAGCTAATATCATCAGCGAAACTAGTAGCGAACAGGAATTTGCCATGCATGCGTATGCACGGTCCTTTCTGTCGCATTAGAACGATAATGCAGCTTAGAGAAGATGATGTCGCCAGTCGCACAAATTTTCCTGTTGACATGGTGCGAATCTATGGAAGAGATGTATTTTCATAGTGCATCTGGAAGAGCAGTTCTACAGAATGCCCGCATAGGACGGTCCATTACTTAACCGATGAGCCGTCGTATAATTCGTGTTCACACGATCGGACGTTCCTCCGAGTTGATAAAGGTTGGAGTTGCTTAGCTGGTTGATCTTTATTCAGAAATCCTCATACACCCCAAGAAATAGTCCTTAAAAGCACATGGACCATCGAGAGTTACAGAGCTCTTCTTGGTCACTATCACCAGACAGGATGATCGTGCGCTGGATCCTTTCTTCGTCCGATACGTTTCGATCGAAAATAAGTTGCTGAATGACTTGCGAGAAGTACATTTAGTTTATAGTGTTTAGAAACATCTCGTTATGATGTTATCTGGTCCTGGAGTGCTTTCTTTCATAATTGATACCAGACTTGTCTGGAAGGATAGTAGCACTGGCTCGATACACCGGTAGGCCACTGCGAGTCATTGTAAAGGCCAGATATGTATTCAATCAGCTCCAACGATGTTTAATGGTGTCGAATGCTTGGCGCATCCCTTAGGAATTGATCAACGCCGGGAGCTTTATCCTTTATCCTTTATACAACGACTATGTAATATGAAAGAATCTCATGAGAATCTGACGAACATGTACTTCACAAAAATCAAAATTTCGTGACAAGATTATTCCTATATGACCATCAAATTGGTTTATATCGATCTTCGGGCTCTTGGTCATACGCAGAGCTATTTTTCCAACCGTTCCTCGTATTCCAATGTCGAGTTTGGTGTAAATGACGACGTCAACAACGTAGATGTCACTGTCTCCGTAGCTTCTTCTAATGTCACAGGTGCAAAGCAGGAAACAAATCTCAGTAATGTCAGTAATGTGAGACGCGTTGCTTCGGTACTGTGCTGATAACACTCGTCCTTACACCTGATTACCTCCAATAATTCCTTTGTCTGACTTCGTAAACGAAAGTGTACACTGTGCAGAGTACTACGGATACATTTTTCTTCTATTGCGTACTATCTTCGATATGCAAAAAACAGCACAAAAACAAGTCTGTACCTCAAAATAAACACCCGAAAAGAACGTGAGTCATGCGTGACTCATGCTACCTTGCCTTTGCACTTTGTCCCTAAATCCATGAGTCATATATGATTAATGTCGTCACGCCTACCGTTAAGTTATGGATTAACAACAGACCTGAATCACGTTAATCAGCTGTGAAAAAATGCTTATCGAAAAGTACCAGCAATCAACTAGTTCATTGTGCATTCAACGTTTCAGGATTTTTCTACGAACTACAGCCACATGTGATAATTTCATACCTTGGCATTCAGGGTTTGACATGAGTTGGTTTCCACTTATACGGCGCAAATACAACCCATAACTAATAGATAGGTTTCATGCTTTAGCACTCAGTGTCCGACATGAGTTGATTTCCGCTCATACTGCATAATAACTACAACGGAAGATCTCAACTTTGAACAAGCATGTCTCAGCCTACAGTGAACTTTACTAATTACAATAAAAAGTATTACAATCCGCAGACCTTTGCCAACGAGGCTGTGTTATTTTACCACAATGAAATTCTGATTTTCTGGTACTCAAAAAATGTATCCTGTGCACTTCTTTTCGTCGAAGATCGTGTTTCGAAAATGAAAGCAGTTACACAAGGTTATTTTGTCCATTAGGACACTATGATGTCCTTACATGTGTTCTTCATCTTTACTTCTGTCTGGATTTAGTTTAGAATATTTATTTGTACTTATTCTTTAGTACCTCCAGACGGATTACTGCTAGGAGATATTCCTGGGTGTCGGGCTGCGGTGTAGAGGGAGGATTCGTTCCCCGACATGGTTTCCCAAGCTGAGAAGGAGTCCAACGTTTCCATCAGGAAGCCTAGCTGAAAGTTAACCAATACCCAGATCCATCATCGTCCTGGTATGAAACTAGTCGCACGGTGGCAAATCTCCCTCTGATGCACAAGGGTTGCGACTACTTGTGATGGTGAAGACCTGGGATGAACTTTGGCCAAGCTGACCTTGGGATTCCAAGAAACCACAAATGGCTCAGCCAGCAATTCTCCGAAAAATGGAGATTATGCTGGGTCCCACACAACCAATGAAGACGGACCATCCACGTGTCTGTCCAAATATTGTGCAGTAGAAGTAGAAAACTACTCTAAGCAATCTATTCTTAACTAGATAGGGTACGGTCTCTTCTACAAGTCGGTCACGTTACTAACTTCTCAAGTATTTCATCCATCCAAAAATTACTAGCAGCTTGCGGAAAGCCAACTTCGTTCCCTAAGGGTTAAATATCCCTCTTTTTGATGTCTAAACAGTAAGTACAACATCTGTAGGATATCATGAATATCAAACAGGTCTAATGATGGGTCGCTTGGACCATCAAATGCTTCATTGCAGATATCTCCGAGTAAAAGCAATCCTGAATAACCACTATGATCTGTACGCCGACATCCTTGGCGGCGACTCTAAGAACCCCGACACTTTGGCAGCATGACGACTAAAAGTTTTGGAAGATGCAAAATTTGCTCTCATATCAAAGTAAAGATATTTCATTACAGCGAAAACTGCCAACACTACGGCGATTTGTTGCTATAAGGCTACTTGTCAGATGAAATATGGCTGTCTTCTTATGCATAAAACGTATTCACGGCTTCTCTAAGTTGTACGATCCCGATACACAATAGCCAGATATCGAGTCGCCAGCGAAAGGAAAAAATGGAGAACAACACTGTAGATGGAGATCGAAATCTTTCCACAGACACAAAATCAATTCTTCATCATCTTCATTCGTGCTCTGGGGTGGCTGCAAGTGACCATCACAACTGCAAAGTACTACTATAAAGGCTAAACATCAAAAACATTCCAGATGAAAAGGAAATAACATGATCTACAAGCTGAAAAGTTATGTGGGAAAAAGCACTCAAATAAACATCCGAGGCTATCTTACTGATTAACAAAGACAAAGTAAACAACGCCAGAGGAGAAACCCACAACAGTTAGACACAAGCTAATCCTAATTTCGGTAACGAATCGGTTGATAGGAATAAGGGAAGACAGCAGTCTTGAAAAAGAGAAAAACACGTTATGTAGTACTACGTCAACAGTATGCCCAACGTCTCCGTGATATTTAAAGTAACCCAACTCATAGTTCATCTAGAAAAAAACCTTTCCCAGATAAAACAAAACAGTCAAAGGGAAAACAAAAGTAATCGCGCAAATATTAATGGTGTTTAAGAAAGCGTGACAAATGCTTGTTGCATCAGTAAAACAGAATCAAAGCCCTTCAAAATACTCCAGAAGAGAAGAAAAACCGCGCAGCAAACAATGTGAATAACTAATTTCTGTTTCTAAACTGTGGTGGTATGTACTTCTCCGGCTTAGGTGCATCTGCTTCTTTTTCACGTATAATTGGTGTTGGCGTAGAATTCTGCGCATTGTACGCAGCAACAGCCTGGAATAACTCAAAGGACTACTGATCAAACAAATTCTTCCTTTCATGAAGATATGGATTGATGCGGATGAATCAATAGTACACAGCACACCTAGGCACTACCTTTATTGCGTTATCACGTTCACGAGCAGCATTCGGAGGAGGGCCCGAAGAAATATTCCAGCGATTTGTGTTTGATAGAGGCCGATTTTCTGAAGCGGTATTTTGGTTACTCCCTGTCTTCAACCTGAACAAGAATTCTTATTCATCTTCCTGACAAAACCCCTGGTCACAACCAACCATCCGCCAGATTTTGCCTCTTCTTTTTTGTCTTTCTCGATTTTGCTAGCATCAGCAAGCGAAGGAAACATCTCATTATTAGATATGTCCACTTTTTGAGAAGAGCGCATCTAAAATACAGTTCAGATTAAAGAAAAACTTGACAAAAACCTTGACTTGAGCACAAGGGGTTTGTACTTCTCCTCTCACCGACAAAACAACCAAAAAAAACACGCCAACATGAAATATCAGCTCTGCTAATCCGGGTAATGACGATCGAAACAATACATCGCCAACTCTTCAGAAAGAAAATGACAACCCACCGCTTGTGACTGTCTCTGGGCTGGTATAACATATGTAGACTTGGATCTCAACGTCGCAAAATGATCATCATTCTGATGATCATCCTCCTTCTTCTAAATAAAATTGCCAAAAAAAGAGTGAAAAAACACTACTCTAAAAAGAATACGTAAGAAACTGCTTACTTCTACTTGACCCCATGTTCTAACGGATTCTGTCTGGACTTTTTGGTCCTCATCATCGACGTGGTCGTCTTCCGCTATGTCACCATTATCTGCTCCCATGTCTTTGATTTTCAGACCTTCCAAGCTTAAAATAAAGTAAGATCTTCAAAAATATTGATCAGATTTTGCATTGGAAACACAACACTTACAATCTTAACCCTTTTATTCACTGCTTTTTTCTTTCTAATGGCAGGGTATGTTGCGAAATACAACTCGTATATAATGCTGAGATATTTGCAAAACTCCGGACCGCAGGTGTATGCAGTGGGGAACGAACGCGCGCTATTGTCCTTACCGGGGAGTAGCGCACTTCAGCACAGTAGCATACACCTGCGGTCCAGAGTTTTGCAAATATCTCAGCATTATATACAACACTTACAGACTAATAAAATGCCGAGGAAATGATATGCACGACATACTTAAGATAAAAACACTAGAAGTCGATAGGTAACCGAGGAAGGAACGCACCGTCCTTGGTTAGTATCAGTATAGTCGATCCATTCACTCTCCTCACCACTGGTTGCTCCACCAGTAGTACTGTTACCACGTGTACGCATTTGAAACTCATTGTCGTCGACGTTGCGAGTTTCAGCATCCATTTGAAGCAGATCACTTTCCTCCTGAAAATATCCAAATAGTTAGGAGTGTTATGTTAACCTCCTAAGGGCGCGCGTTGCGCAGTGGTTGGAGGCGCCACTGCAGCACGCACGTGGAATCGATCCCAGCGCCCATAGCCCACCAAGGCTTCCATCCCTCCGGAGTCGGCAAATTCGTATCAGACTTGTCTGGGAGGATGGCAGCACTGGTTCGATAGATGAGTGGGCCACAGCGAGTCATTGTGAAGGCCAGATATGCATTTAATCACCTCTAACGATACTTAATGAAGCGAATGCATGGCGCATTCCTCACGGATTGATCAACGCCGAGAGCTTTTTTTTATGCTAACCTCCCAACGGTTAACTGCCTCATCGTAGCTAGGTGCACCTAAGTGACGGACTGCGCCTCTCAGTACGAGCAAGAGTCTGGTGTTTCGATCAGAAAGCGCAGCTAAAAGTAAACCAGTACCAGGATCTGTCACCGTCCTGGCATAAGACTATTCGCATGGTGACAAATCTCCCTGATCCAAAAGGGCGGCGACTGCATGTGGTGGTGACGACCTTGGGCAGATGGTCAGGTTGACTCCGGGATTCCAGAGAACGATAATGGCTAAACGGGCAAAATTCCGAGAAAACAGAGATTATCTTGGTGCCCACACAACCAGTGAAGATGGGTCATCCAAGAAGATCCAAGAGAGTAAATAGGAATGCTTGTCATATTAGAAAGACCTAACCACCTTGTAAATATCATTGCACAGCGAAAAAACAAGAGCCTGACCTGTCTCTTGACTTTCAACTCAAGTATATGGCCCACATCCTCCATCTTAACGACATTCCGCTTCTTCTTGTCTTTTTTCTTCGCGAAAAATGCGCTCAAATCGTCTGACATCCCAGCGTTGTTCTGCTGCTACCTACTAGCTCCACAGTAGCGTAACGTTCTACGTGCGAGATACTTTCAAAGTATCAAGACGATATCTGGAACGTGTAGACATGTTTCTGGATGTATTAATGCAGAACTACTAGAAATATAGAAATGAAGGACATGATCTTCTTTCAGTAGACATAGTAGACTGTAATGATGCAGGGCCCGTATGGTGAGGTAGTGAACGTGTGAGCACACGGAAAGGGTAATAGCGTACTTGATCTTAACCGCCGCAGACACCAGCGGTCCGGAATTTTGCAAAAAAATCTCAGCATCACTGTGGTTGTATTTCATATGTCCTGGCATTCAAAAAGACTAGGCAGTAAATAAAAGTGATGACGTTATGATTTCTACCAGACTGCATTTTTATTCACTCGGTAAACCAAATTTGAGTTTGCCAAACCATTTCAGTAATCTCCGGTTGTTTATTCCTAATACAAGTCTAAGCATAGCAGTTCCCATATTACTTAGAATAATTCAAACAACAACTAAAATCTGCCTCAAGCTGTTCGACGACCTACGCTAAACATCACGTCCACACCTTAACACACTCTCACATACTACACACTGTCCAGATATATCAGTGAGGTGCATTTCAGTCCGATATTAACTATGACTTGAAGAAATATTCTTCTTGGAGAAGATAGATCAGAAGGTACAGAAGTATTACTAGCTTCATCAGACAGCTGTTAATTTAGCAACATAACGAAGTGGACTTGCTAAAAAACATCAATAGCTAGCAAACTCATTCTGTTAGCTGACACAAGGCCATACTAGTTCACAACAGAAATTGAAAGGAACATCACTAATCCACTAATACCAACAACGAGAAAAGTACTGACAAAGTAAAACTTGATGGTGAAAGCGCTGCTTTCTGGAACTCCGTTAATTGTAACTTAAAAAACATACACTTACAGGAAGCAGTCTCACTTAGCGAATCCCACCAGCACGGAAGACAACAGAAAGCATAATAAACAGTGTAGCATAGTGTACGAATGTTTAGCCTTCTCAAGAAATTATGATATCAGTGAATAAAATTAAACACTTTATCAAAGGCCAATTGACACCATGAAAGGGAGAGAGGAGGGTATAGGGGTGGGGTTGTAGAGTTATTTCCCTGCAACGGTAACATAGAATGAAATGCCTCTCTACTAGCTTTCAATGATCATTCCTGAACAACCAAAACACTAAACCTAATAGAAATATCTGATAATGAGATTGCGAGGTGCAAAAACAGCGGTTTGCCCTCAAAACCACTATGTACTGTTGGCTTCAGGACTCTACTATTATGGCGATAAAAAGCAATTCGATCTAAACTATAACCGGCTTCAATTATCAGTTCCCACAGTTTAGTTCCTATACATCAAACCATCACACGCTCACCAAACCTTTTATCCCGCCGGACCCCACAAATTGGTAACAGGCTTGACTGGAGGGATAGTAGCGGCGTTGGCTCGATACATCGATAGGCCACCGCGAGTTATTGTATACGGCATACATGCATTCAATCACCTCTAAGCTGCGAATGCATGGTGCTTTCATCATAGAGTGATGAACGTTGAGAGCTCTATTCTTTTTGGTTTCATATCAAAACACTAACATGTCATATAGGATCTGAAAAACCTGAGTATTTAACAAGAACTAAGCTCATAAGCAGAGATAGTGACAGGATTTCTAGAGGTACAAAACAGACCGAAAAGTAAACAACCACACACCACACACATATTACAACCACCACCCTGTCCTACACTCGAAACTAGTTCTTAGTAAAATACATATTTGCCCAACACTGTCTTCAAAGAAAAACTGGCCTATAACTATTTAAGAAACGTGGAAATCAAGTTCTAAATACTTTAATATTCTAAGCTCTTAACTTAGTCTCATTAAATTAACCTGTTAGATAGGTGTACTGGGAAAGAAAAAACACCTAAAGATAAGATTAACAGAAGAAGAAACACCTAGAGATGAGATAAGCGGTCCATAGTATAACAGTTTGCACAAATAACAACTTCAAATCTCTATTTCAAGTAGCCGAAAAGCTCAGTTATTAAAACTTAATGACGTCACTAACTCGCCAAATAATGATTGGCGAACTGTTTGCCCACGGGTTTTTTGAGGGGAAGATGGTGATGACTAAGGCAAATATCAATCACAAAGAAACACAAAAAGGGCTATTACAAGTGGAAAACCGCACGTCTCTTAAGATTAAGAGGAACACAAGAGATAGGAGTCGTAAGGTTTAGCAACTCTTCCTCCAATAAGGGTGGAATGCGTTAGTTAAATATTGATTAGTGGATACTATCATCCCAAAAGATCATTCTTTTCTTCGATCAATAATCATAAAAACGGTAACAGTGCAATCCTCTATTCGACATCGAAAACGCATGACGTATTTTGATGAAATAATCGATAGACGCTGAACGAAAGATAGTAGGGTATTCTATTGTACTTAAGGTAGTCTAACACCGAAAAATCATTGATTGACCTTTAACTGAAAATAACTTTAGCATGAGCGCTTAGGACCAATGTCAAAAAAAGTCTACCTTTCCTTAAATAATACATTTTGTTTATGTTACCGGTTTTCGCTATCAAATTCTACTCCCACCAATTCCAAGCATATCGGCTCACCTGAGTACTTCAATATCATCGCCAAAAGACACATTTGGCGTTCTTCTGGACAGATTTGGCACAAACTGCCTTCAGATATAGCAGAGATATCCCCATAAACAAAACACTTAAGTCCCTTGCCTAGGCCTTAGAGTTCTGCGAAGCCCGTAAATGAATTGAACGACAAAGTACTGAACAAAAAACACTTTCAACTACCTCTGGTGGTGTTTGGTGAATAAAAAAAGGCGACGACGACACTTGGACAATTTCCGTGAGGCCACTTCGCATACCGGGTTCACGACGAATGAGGCGTTCGGAAGCCGCTCCCATGTGCGATGCTGATATTGTGTTCGTCGTAGGACCCAAGGTATGTTATTGCATTGTGTACCTTTAACAGATGACGAAGGCGCCAAGTTCACTGCTTTTCTTTCCTACTTGGGTTGGGATGGAGGAGGAGGGCGTGGTGTACTGAAGTGTGGAGTCAGTTGTCCTAGGCCGTTAAGGACTTTTTAGTATTCTTCCATTGATCAGCTAACACGAGGTTAATAAATAGACTTTATTCGACTAACGTCTCAACCTCTTCGTCTTCATCAGAGCCGATGACTCCAGACGGTGTCCACAGTCCTTCGTACTTTCGATGTGGTATCTTCGTTGTCTTACAGAGTCATGAGTCAAGAATGCGTATTCATTCGTCATGCCGAAGTTTAAAGGAAGTTGGTTTTTGAAATATCGTTATGCTCCGTACTTGCTACTATTCTGGAACTAAGCGCTACTTTTCGATAACCAAAGGACTTGAGAGGTTGTGAACGCGATAGGACTGTACAAAAGACTTTGCTGTATCATTTCATGGGTGTGGACCTCATGTATGTTAGTGCTTGCCAAGTGTTATTGTGGTCCATCATGCAAATAGATCACTGAACTGAAAATGGACACTTACTTGATACTTGATACTTAAACCGCCCGGCCTTGCTGGTTGTGCGAGCCTCAGCATAACCTCCATTTTTCGGAGATTTGCTGGTTAAGCCATTATGGCTTCCTGGAATACCGAGGTCAGCCTGTGCAAAGTCTGCCCCAAGTCGTCACCACCACAGTCAGTAGCAACCCTTGTGGATCAGAGGGAATTTTCCAACTTGCGACTTTGATACTAGGACTGTGGTCGATCCTGGTATAGGTTTACTCTCAGCTAGGCTTCCTGATGGAAACATCGGACTCCTTAGCTTGGGAAACGCTGCCGGTGGACGAATCCCCCCGCTGTACATCCCAACCCAACACCCAGGAACACCTCCCAGTCAGAGGCGGTAGGCTGTTAGGAGGAAAAATGGTCACTATATGTCTAAATCGACCGTTACGCGTTAAGTATCCGAAGCGTGTTTTATGGTTTTCCTACCAAAGTGCTTGGAAATTGTGTGTTCATTCCATTGTGACAGCTAATGTTAGCAGTTAATTAGAAGGTTGCGCAATGGTAGGGATGCTG